TCCTGAATCACTAATGGGAAACTTCACTACGAGGGTGGTTGGACCTTGACATAATAACTAATGATAGGATCAGGTTGCTATTGCTTATTTCACCTTTATCAATTAGGTTGCCATCTAGTTTATAGATATCATATAACTTACAGAATGGAGTTATAGCACTAAACAGCGTGTGTGTGTGTGTGTGTGTGTGTGTGTGTGTAATGAAAAAATGACCCAGGCATGGTGGCACAAGCCAATAACCCCAGCACTTGGGAGACTCAGGCAAAGGGAATCTCAAGTTTGAGGCCAGCCTCGACTATAGAGTGAGACCTTTCTCAAACAATCCAACAGAATGAATACAGAAAATATTCTTTAAAATCGATGGGGCATGAAATCGAAATGTGGGGCCATGCCCTCTGGACAGAACACCTGGCCAGGAAGACGGGTTGCTACAGTGCTCAACCAGGACAAGAGTAAATGCTGGCAGAGGGGCTCCTTTGCCACGAGAACTTCACACACTGTACCTCAGATACGCTTTGTTCTGAGGGTCTTGTGACAGCTGCGTCATCTCAGTCCATAAACAGGGGCCACCAGTCAGCCCTCCATAAAGATCTTTCATGTCACACAAGGCCCTGAATACACAGACACGAAGCCTTTGGTGCAGCGCAAGGCTCCAGAGCCCACTGCACACCAACCTGGGTCAGCTCTGGCTGCCATGTCACCGGGGCCCCGACATAACACTGAGTTTGGTCTGCCTGTATCTGCATACATGTCGGGGCGGGGGGGGGGGGAGGACACTCGACAGGCAGCTGGGACTTACAGACATCGCTGAACTTACAGATGGTTTACACATTGGTCAACCACATGGAGCCATTAGGGTTCACACACCCAGACCACAGCCCAGAGATAAACAGTCTCATGTGGGGGCCTTGTGACCTACGTGACAAACAGCTGTGCTAGCCTCTGGCTTCAGAGTTTTCATTTCCCTACTTCTTATCCCAGTAGATAACGTACGTAAGGAGAGAACCAGTAAGACCGCAATGGGTCATAATTTGGCATTTGTTTGGGGCTCATTCTAAAGGGGCTGTGGTGAAATCTTAAACCTTTAAGTTTTCGAACTCCGACATTATTTGGAAACAGGGTATTCACGGAGACAGGCATAGGAAGGTCACCAAGGTGAGGCCCTAATGCAGGAAGAAGGGGAAATGTGGACATGGAGACACGTGACAGGAGGAGGTGGCGTGTGTCAGGTCTACAAGTCAGGGAAACTCAGACACTGCTTGCTGACTGTGCGGAAGCCGCTTCTTCCAGGCTGAGCATGGCCAGTGCCACCCTGAAGCAGAGCAGCTGTGGATCATTTCCACAACGCCTCAGGCGATCAGGCTTCTCCTGTGGGGGAAGGACAGGTGCTCAGGAGACCTCCCGTTCCTATGTAAAGCCCCAGGGCCACGTGTCTCCCACAGTTACGTCTCTGCTCTGCACCTCCACGCTCTTGCTGGTTCACACAGCCAGGTCATCACAGAGATGACCCCATTGCTAGTTCCAGTTCTCTGCCTGGTTTTATCTTGTGACCAAATGCCTGACAAAAACAACTGAAAGAAAGATTGGTTTGGGCGCAGGTGGGAAAGCTCAGTCCATCATGGAAGGGAGGGCGTGGCAGAACAGGAGGATCTGTATCAGTGTAGCCGTGAGACACAGCGAGAAAGCCTGCACACCCGACACACAGGCGACATCACTGCCACGGTCCAGAGCCCTCTACTCCTGCGCATCCTAAGGGAAGACCTGTACCAGCACAGAGCCGGACGAGCAGACACAGTCCCTCTGCACAGCATTTTCTCCTCCTCCTAAGCTGTTTATGTCAGGCGTTCTGTCCCAGGGACAAGGAGGCTAACAAACACACCATCTTCCCAGAGCTACAGCAGAACAAATACGTTTTCAGACAGATGAGAGACGAAAGGATCCATCCCCAAGAGACACTGTCACAGTCCATTTTCTGCCATATAATGCAGTAATGTGATTGTAAAGAAAAGAGCGTCTACCTCGGCTCATGGTTATAGTCCAAGGTCAGGGGCTGCGTCTGGTGACAGCTCCAAGGGGGCAGCTTGGGGGTATGGCATATGTATTACTTTCCGGTGCCCCCATCTTGTGTACAAAGCCACCAGAATCCATTCATAAGGCCCAGGCCATGACTTACATAACCACCTCTTAAAGCCCGCTAGTCTGACCTTTTCACCGCCTCTGCCTCACAGTGGGGGCTGAATTTCAACTCAGGAGTGTCTGAGGGGCAGACTTGGCCCATTTCCAAGACACATACCTTCACTGTAGAGGACACCAGGCAGAATACATATGTGGACATCTACAGTAGATCATAAATGACTTCATCTCTTTAACCTCTTTCAAGACTATGAACTATAACAACAAACATTAACTATGTACAAGGGGACTGCAGTCCCTGACATGCTTGAGCTAGCTCCGCTGTGAGCATTGGCTAAAGGTCCCTCTTCACAGGCCTGTGCTAGCGATCCCATGTTTCTACTCAAAGTAGGCCGTGGTGGGAGTATTTAGCTCACAAAACAGCAAGTGCTACAGACGAAGACTTGGTCATCAGGAGAGGTGTGGCTAGCAGTTCCCACATACGGTATCAGGAGTACAGGGAGAACAGCAGGAGAACCAAGAGAGGATGGTCTTACACAGTTTCAGGGCTTCCTCTTTTCACCTTTTATTATTTTAGGAACATGAGCATATATGCCTATATATACATATACACATGTATATATACCTGATGGGCCTAGTGCTGAGCATTTTATCTACATATATGTTTATGTGTCACATGCGTCTGGTGCCTGGAGAGGCCAGAGAGCCACTGGCTATCTTGCTGGAGTCAGAGATGCTTGGGAGGCTCCATAGGGTGCTGGGAATCGAATGTGGTTCCTCTGCAAGAGCGGCCAGTGATCTTGATCACTGGGCCATCTCTCCAGCCCTAATTTTCATGGTTTTCATTTTTCTCTTACATTTAGTATCTCAAAGCAGCCTGGCGGCATAAGGCATTTCTAAATCCCTGGAAAATTAAAGATTAAGGGCTGCATAAACTCATGTGAAGAAGTAATTGCCAGGGAGGTTGTGAGACACCTTGGGTCATAAAATGACCTCCTTGGGGCTCCGAACGTTCATCTTCTGTGTAATCACTGCTCTGTCTCCAAGAGGAAGGAGGAAGCCACCAGAAATGAGTTGTCAAACAGTCTTAAATATCCAGGAGATGCTTAAAAGGGAGCTTGCAAGTGTGACTCTAAGGGGGAGATTGACATGGGACGTATACAGCAGCCTTATTTTCACATCTGGAGTAAAAGCTTAGGGTTGTGAGAGTAAAGTCTGCCCAACTGCAGACCCAATGCCACTCCCCGGAGGACGACTACATACTCTATACATTCTGGAAATAAACAGGGCTTTTCCATGTATAAAGCGATGCCGGCCCTGTCCCTGGAGCCACGCTGAAAACTGATAACCCCAATCTCTTTATGGTGAAGGTATACAGGTGGTCTGTGGCATATGTGCACACACACAGAAAAGCAATAAGAAGTATTTTCAAAATCCCTAAAGAAGCAACAGCGATAATCATTACTGAGCTATGTTGACTATTACTCAGACACCCAGCACAGGACAGGGAGAGAGGCAAAGTCAAGCTTGCACCATCACACGGGGCACCAGGACCGATGCCTGCATCAGCACAAGTCAACAGCCTGCTGTGCAGATTTCTCCCACTCGGGATGTGCTCCCATTAGGTCACATGGCTTAGCCGCAATGGTGAAGAGCCAAGCCAGAGCCAACATACCCACAAGGAACACAGAGATCTGACTCCAGGGTAGCACAACAGAGACTTTGCCTGCAGCTCTGCAGACTCGACTCTGCAATCAGCTTGCTCCATCCTCCCCGGCTCTACAGATGTGTATGTGTGTGTGTGTGGGGGGGGGGGGATTGATTAATCCTTCAGGAGAAGAGGATGCTGTAATCTAAGGCGGGCACACCCCATCTCCCTCTCAACGCCACTCCTCCGTGATTTTAGCTGCTCCTCTCCCACATTAGCTGCTACATCTCCGCTCATCGGAAAGTCAGAAGAAGCGCAAGGGGCCGCCCTGTCTTGGCTCCTACACACAGGTAACTTTCCATCCCTCGAAATCTAGAGGCTGGACCACTCCCTTTCCTGGCCAACAATCCCCTTCCTTCTTGCTAGAGTGGAGACACCGTGTGCAGTGGAACGCTGCTGCGGATGCTCTTCCACTTGGATGTATTCACGGTTGTGTCTGAGGTGACGATGATACGACAAGGTTACTCACAATGAGGGATGCAGCCCTCAAACCAAGCTTCGAGACCAGAACCTTCGAGGAAAACAGGTGGCCGACAGAGGGGCAAACAGAATGCAGGACCCTGGAGGGCTGGGGCTGTCACTGAAGGACACACACAGTCACTTGGAGAGTAACCTTGCTTATTACAGATCTGCCTGCAGAGCATTTCCCAAGTCGGTTCCCTACCCTGCCTGTGAGGATGCTGAGGTTCCACGGTGTGAGCGGTCACAGGAGGTCCAGGGGGATCCAGGCGGAAGCCCTAGTGAAGAGCTCCTGTCCACAGATGGGCAGTGCACACGTCTCGGGACTGGGCAGAGACCTGAGCACCAAGAACCACCAGGCACAAGAATTCATTTCCTCCACCCTGTGACCTGCCAGGAGAGGTGGAAGCTGTGTCCCCCTGCCCCCTCCAGAGTGCCAGACTAAAGGGCTACAGGGTGAGGGTATGTTCCACTCAGTTCCTGGGCCCAGCAGCCCTGGTTAGACCAGAGGACAGGGTGCCTGGCGGAGGTGAGCCAGACGGCACACTCCAGAGGCACCATCTCCCCCCTGCTAGTGCAGAGTCCTGCCCCACACAGTGTGCAGGCTGGAAGTCCAGGAGGTGCTGGACGCACAGACAGCATTAATATTTAACCGAGCGGTCACTTGCACAGTCTGCTCACGTCACTAGCTGTCTCTCACCTGGTGCTTTCCCATTCTTGCTCATCTTTGTCTTTTTCTTCCTTCCCGTCTCCCGTGTGTGGGTGTTTCTGCACAATCCGCATCCCGCCGGCTTTCACTGAAATAAAAACAAAGGTGGGGTGACCAGGGTGGAGGGGTGTCTGCCTGTGGATCTGGAGCACCTGATGGAAGGCCACGACGGACTTGATACAGTCCTCGGTGCCCTATTATACCTTAGAAATTTCCCAAGGCTCTCGCGTTCCTTTCCGATCACCTCTAAGTACTTTCTAAGAACAGCAGTGTGAACGGAACATAAGCCAGGTGACATCGTGGCTACTCTGGGCTCTCTGTGTCATAGGGACAAAACATGGGCCTCTTAAAGCCTGCCTCGTGATCTGAGTTCTTCAAACACCAGTGGTTTGGACAGGGTGACATGGCCATGGCTGCCCAGCAAGTTCTGGGAAATTCCCTCGCACTGGGGTTACGGACATGAATCACGCCCAGCTTCTGGGTGGGTGCCAGGAATCCGAACTCAAGTCCGCAGGCTTTCAGAATAAGCCCTGGGCTGAAATGGCCGTTCTCTCAGCTCCGATGGGTTCTTCTCAAGAGAGACTGGTACTGGGTGAACCTCAGAGCCCAGCCATGGGCCGCAAAGCCATTCAGAGCAATCCTCCTTCCCAAACAGTGCTCCAAAAGGCTGCTGTCGGCAGAAGTCATGTTCTTTCTAAAAGCAGCTTTTAAACACACTTCCTGTACCACGGAGCTCGCCTGTTTGTCTAACACGGCCTCAGTGTACTCATGCATTAGGGCTTCTTTCTTTAATGCCAAATACAATCAATCCTCTGCATGGGTGCAGCACATATTTGATTTGCCCACTCACCAGGTGATGGGCACTTAGGGTGTTGGCAGTTTGGGCTGTTATGAGCACTGCAGCGTTGGATAACGTCTATATAATTTTCTGTGTCTGTATGTTCATTTCCTTGGATCTGTAGATAGGCATGGGATAGCTGGGTTCCATAAGAACCCTGTGTACCCTACTGAGAAATGACCAATGTACACCAGGGGCCTCTGATTTCTACAAATGTGTACCCACATGTTATCTGTAATTGTAGTCAAGCTAGCCAGGGAAGAAGGGGTGGAGGTGGAGAGTGTAGGATGGAAAAAATGAGGAAATACCAGGTAGACAATCCAATGGATTACCGTGCGTGCATGAGTGTGGAGGCCGAGGGTGGATACTGGCTATTTCTCCGAGACGCTAAGTGTTTCTCAATCTTTCCTCCACCTGTTGTTTTTGAGCAAAGCCGTCTATCTCCATCTCTCTAGCACTGCAATTACAGACACGAACTAGCTTCTATGTGTGGGTGCCAGGAATCTGAAATCAGATCCTCAAGCTTTTGGAGCAAGCACATTACCAACGCGGCCATCTCCCCAGCCCCAGATGGCTCCAAGGGAGATTTTAGAGCCTGCACTGCGCTAATGTGCATCAAGCTTTTAGGTGGGATGGAACAAGAAGTGGTGCGGGACAATTGTCTATATTCTGTCAATTATGTTTTAAATAAACACTGATTGGCCAGTAGCTGGGCAGGAAGTATAGGCAGGTCATTGAGAACAGGAGAATTCTGGGAAGAGGGAAGCTCCCTCTGCAGTCCTGTCCAGACACAGAAGAAGCAAGAGATAACTATGCCGCTGAGAAAGGTACCGAGCCATGTGGCTAACACAGACAAGAATAATGGGCTATTGTAAGTTATAAAAGTTAATAAGAAGCCTGCGCTAATGGGCCCATCAGTTTATGATTAATGTAGACTTCTGTGTGATTTCTTTGGGACTTAATGACTGTGGAAACCGGGCAAGACAGAAACCTCAGACAACAAGAAATCTCCCCAAATATATCTGACAACAGATTCTCCCCAATAAGCCTGTGTATCATCTTTTAGTAGCATTGTTCCAGGACAGGGTTTGCATGTGCCCTATGCTCACCAAGCCTTGTACCGTGGTGTGGAGCTTAAGTTCTGTAAAGCTGATCTGTCTTAAGACTCTGGAGAATGCCCAATCTAGCCCAGACATTCTGATCAGAGGGGCTGTGCTTAAATGGTGAATCTGCCAATCTGGGCTTGAAACTAAAACCCTGGTGTCTCACCCTTTAATGCAGGAACACCATGCTACTCTGGGGAAAAACGGATCCTATTTAACAATGCTCCCAGAAATCTGCCTTTTATCTCAACAACTGATTTTCAGTAACTTTATGTCTCTTTAAAGAGCTTAGCTTTGTCTCCACGTCATCATCAGGTCTTTGCTGGGGACTTGGTCCTCCCTTGTATCTGTTTCAGGCACATCTGTCCTACAGCTGCCTGTCCCGCTATTTCCTCTACTGAGGTCTCTGTGTGTGCCGACCTTTGCTGTATACCTCTGTCGGTTCCTGAGTTCGGTGGCTGTGGCTCATGTGCTGTATTCCCTGCCCGAGACAGCAAGAGTCGCTCCTGGTGGAGGCAGCAGCTCTGTGGAGAGAGAGGCTGTAACAGTTTCTGTTCAGGTCCTCTCATCCTTCTGATGGATTTCTTAGCATGGGAAGGGCAACAGTGGATGCCAAGGTTTGAATGTGGCATGCCCCACGCAGCTGTGTTTGAAGCCCTTGGCCTCCGGTTGCTGGCTCTGCTTAGCAAGACGGTGGACCATTGAGACATGCCACCTAGTAGATGGACACAGACAGCTAGAGGGGGTAGGGAAGCTTTGGAGATCATAACTCAGCCCTGGTTCCAGTCCTGGGCACTGTCTCTTGATCTGCCAAGAAATGGGAAGCCTCCAGTCATCGTGAACTCTGCCATACCTGCCTGGCTTCAGTGGATGCTCACATAGCCCAGGGTGTGAGCTCTATAAGGCAAAGGTGGAGAATGTGAGGGGCAGCAGCAAGGGTGGACACTGGGTGCTGATGTCTGGCCTATATACTTGTCAGTTGTGGGAAATCCCAGCGAGAACCCTCTGCCCCAGACCATGTAGTCTCCAGAGGCTCTCCGTGGTATGAACTAAAATTATGAGCACCCCGCCCCCCATGCCCTGATCCTGCACCTCAGACAGCTCATCACTAAGGAAGCTGAGGGGAAGTGGAAGAGAGCAATGCTCTTTGGTTAGGGTGCAGGCTGCTGATTTAAGCCACACAGGAAGGGGAGGAAACGGACCAACAAAGGCTGTGTCCATCTTCCACATCACTGCGTCTGAGAGCAGAGGCACCACGCAGCTGTCTCGTCAGTCACGAAAGAAAGCAAGACCCGACTGCTGGAGGTGCTGGGGAGAATTGTCATCAGAAATCCTGGAGGCAGGGACTGTTAGGTATTGGCCGATGCCACCTCTGGACCCGCGTGGCAACTGGGTCAAGGCCACTTAGCTGGGTCATGGGCAGCAGAAGGGGAACAGTGACTGTGGTGTTACTTTTAATGTCTCCTTTCCCCAGAACTTACGAATGTGTTCTGTGGCAAGGTGAAAGTATGGCTGCAGAGGGAATTGAAAGCCAATCGTCTGAACCTAAGATTACTCTCCATTAGCCACGTGGACCACGTAATCAGAAGGGTCTTTAGATGTGACAAGAGGAAAGAGAAGAGTCAGGGTCCCAGTGGGGATGGAGGAACGGGCTACAAACCAAGGCATGTGGGTGAACTCAACACAGAGAAGGCTCCCCCCAGAGCCGCCAGAGGACAACAGCCCTGCTCACACCTTGGCCTGAGCATTGTGACACCCTACTCTAGACTCTTCCTAGACTGTGAAAGGAAGAACTGAATTATTTTGCATTTACTGAGATTAAAAAAAGAACAAAGTGCACTATTTCTCACTCGACCTGAAATAAACACAATCATTTATCTAGTGACTTTAAGCTCATCATGGTTTTAAAACCACCAAATTTACTATAATTACCTGCAGAAACTACCACAGCAAAGCCTGCCTCTCACGGGCCCCGCCCGAGATCTGATATTCTACCACATTCAACCCTCTGTGGCAGCCTGTGCAGACATGGCAGCATCACAGGGCAGAAAGTGCCCGGGAATCCACGCTGCTCCTTGTTGGAGGTTCAACAGGAGAAAAAGGAACTTTGACTTCTTCAGCTCAGACTGTTTTAAAAAGCGAATATTCCCTGTGTAAGCAAAACGATGCCTGAGATATGGCTGTGAGACAGCCACCAAGCATGTCAGGACACGGGGTGGTGGCTGAAATGAACAGGGCACATACAGCAGGCCCCAGAAGGGGAAGCTAGCCGGAGCTGTCTAAGGAACAGGGGAGGTAACTGTAACCGCATTACAAATGCTAGGTTAACCCTGATGGAAACACATAAGAGAAAACAGTCACTAAAGCATGGTGTGCCCCGTGGCATGCTGGGAGTGGAAGCAGAGGGCGCTTGCTCCCTTCTCCCGGTGGTCAATGGGTGGGTTCCCTGGCTGAACGTGGGAACCTGCTTACCACGTGTATGACAGGATGCTCGCTACAGAAAGGCAAATTCACCTTTCATTTCTGGCAACAGAACAGCCTGGATAACCCAAAAACTTCCTGCAAGAGAGTACTTCAGGGTCAATTACCATCCGCAGGCTTTAATGCATCCTGAAGCCATGTCTGAATGATTAATGCAATGGAGCTGAATTATCGGTGTTGCTGAAAATAGCAAGTGGCCTATTTCCCACCGTACGTGACATAAACAGCCACGTTCACATTTCCGGCTGACAACTTCTGGGGACAGCCCTACAGAAAAGCAGCAACACGTGATGGGATCACGTTATCAGTTTATGAAACTCGACTTATTGTGTTGGCTCCCCTGGGCAATGGGTACACGTGGTGGGGGCTATAAGCCTGAAACGTGTATCTGCCAAGCGAGTCTTTATCCAGTTCACATGCGGACTGGCAGGGGCGAGTCATCGCGTGTAGTCTGGGCAGCTGGGAAGGCCACGGCCGCCGTTAGAACCAATGCAGCTTCTGAATGCGTTGCTGCCTTAGCAAGAGCGGTGAAACCAATGGGCTCACCCCAGTTCTCCATGCATTTTCTGGTGAGGAGCAGCAGTGGGGGCTGCAGTCTGGGCTGCCTGGCTTGCTGTCAGGGAGATGCCTGCACAGTGAAGCGCCATCTATCCCAGGAAGGTCTCTGTGCAGCATGTCCTTCTTTGGAAACCACCTCCCTAACCTCACAGCTTGGGAGTGGCCTCTGTCGAGCGATGGACACTGTCAGGCTGCTAAGGTCCTTCAGGCCAGTCCCCCACCTCCCATAACCAGCTCTTAGAGGTTAGTAAGTCACCCCAAATAGCTCTGCCAATGATTTAAATGGCACTGCCCACAGTATCTTGATGGTAGGCCACTGCAGTCAAAGTGCCCAGCACTTAAATACTTGCTTGCTGGTATGGTTGTAATAATGACCAGACTCTAGTTACTGCTTCCACTGTGCTAATTCTAGCCGTTCACTACCTGTGCAAATGAGGGCAGCAGGGAGGCTATAGGCGTGGCATTAGAAAGTGAGGTGAGGGGTGGAGGCAGACAGGCCTTGGGGAAACTTTCCTGGAGCTTTTTACTAGGCATCTCCTTCTAGGTAGTGTTGCCAGCCCCTGAAGGTACTGACGCAGGCAGGCAGGGAAGCCAGGAGAGTGGGAGAGACTGGGGGTAAGTGCAGCGAGGAAAACGGGCATTGTAGGGACTGGAGAGGCCAATAAAGAGAGAACACAAGAGAGGACAGCAAAAGAGGCATGGTAAGAGGATTTTATTATTTCCAATGAAAGATGTAAGCACACGTCTGTTATACAATGTAAGCACTTAATGAAAGCTTTCCCGAAGTTCTTACGCAGTCATTTTGACTTACAGACTGTGTTCTTGGCAATCCTTTATTATTCTTTACTAGTGGGTGGCCCTTTCTTCTTTCTACAAACATTTATCCTGCAGCACTGCCGCTCTCTCAGATTGCCAGACAAAAAAGGGCACACTCTGGCCTCCCGGCCACAGAAAGGAGCTTCTGCAGATGAGGAGAAACACACCCTACAAGGGGGGCAGCCAAGAAGCACAGCCTGCTATCAGCACGGTCCCTCCCACCCCTCTGGGCTTGGTGGCCTTGGGATTTCCACTCTAAAGACCTTTGGGTCAGGTGAGTTAAAAGGCTTGCCCTAAGGTCACAGACATGTTTGATTAACAAGAGGAACAAACAGGCAAAGGAGCAAAAGTTACAGTCCCAAGGCCAGGCCCCACTACGGCTACCCCAGAGGAAGACGGTCTGGTCCAGTCTCTAACGTCAGGTGAGGAGACCCCTGAGTCCCAGAGAAGAACAATGTCGTGCCCCAAAATGCTAAACTTAGAGCCCAAGTGCACAGCTGCACAAGCACAGCAAGGTGGTTCTCCCTGTAGGCACAAACAAGGTATTCCGTTTCTAATTCAAAAGCCTGTTTGCAAACCAAAGTAAACCAGAACTCTCCAGTTTCTCCAAGTGAGCTTTTCCTTCCTCTGATCCTGAGGTGTGCCTCATAGTCTCTGTGAGCAATTTAATCAATGTTGTTTTGACTCATTGTCTTTCTAAGAGGCACACATTAATGAACTCCTTCTTCAGGGAGACTCCATTGAGTCTCTGTTGAGCACAGCCCCCTCGCCTCAGCCTGGAATCCTGCATTGTGGGTCAGGCCAAGCAGAACAGATCCACAGGCAGCTGGACCCAAACTACTCCTTTAAAAGTTAAAGGTCAGGGTTTTCCTTAATGGAAATCTTTCTTTGTTGTTCTTTGGTTTTGCTCTTCTTAAATTTTAATAGAAAAAAGTTTTTATACAATATAGTCTGATTATGATTTTCCCCTCCCCAACTCCTCCCCCACTGCCCTACCCACCCAACTTCACTTTTTTTAAAAAAGAAAATTAAACACACACTCTCTCACACACACACAAACCACAAAACCAGAAACCAAAACACACAAAGCAAAAGACTAATAAGACAAGAAAAAAACACCAACAAACAAACCAAAAAAACCCCACAAAACAAACAAACAAAAAACCCAAAGCAACACAACACAGGAAATCTAAAAAAAATACCATTGAGTTCATTTTGCCTTGGTCATCTACCTACGGAGCATGGGACCTACTCTGAAAAGTGAGACTCTATTGGAGAAGACTAATTTTTCCTTTGCAAAACAGGCACTAGTTTTGGATAGGCTTGGTTAGGGGCTGGAGTCTGTGTCTTAAAGGGAGTCTTTCCAAGGGTGGTTTTGTTTGGTCCGAAGCGAGGATTGAACCCAGAGCGTTACGTACTCCATGATGGAATTTTACAGCAAACACAAAGTGTTTCCACCACAGTGGGATCCTTTTCTAACTCCTACACCCCGTGAGGTTAGCGGAGAGGCGCTGTCACAGTGCACCGCCTTTCCGTCACTCCTGTCCTCCCGTGGGGGCCAGCAGCTGCAGAGGTGTGACATTTTAACAACAGAGAGACTGTACAGATGTGTCCCCCACCCAGCATAGTCCTCTAAGGTTTGTTGGGAGGAGCCCTGGTTCAGAGTGTGTGCCGCCGAGACCTGGAGGCTCTCTAAGAAGACTTGGCTTCTGGGACCCGCGGCCTTCGAGCCGCCTCTCAGGGGTGTTCTCACAGGCATCCTTGCCACCTAGTCCCACCAGCGTGGCAGCCACGGAGGAACAAACAGGAACTGAGTGGAGGCGGCGCCCAACGCGCACAGAGGTTGCCTGCCATTTCCTAAGAAAGGTGCCTCTTTCCTGAACTTAACTGCCTTGGCTTAGAGTTTGAGGGTTTGCTTTAAAAATATTACTTTAACCACTTTCAATAGAATGCTGGATGAGAAATGAAAATGAGGCGAGAAAGCCATGCCAGGTGATTAGTGATCAGGATTATTTCCGCTCCTTTGGTCTGTCAGTGTGAAACGCTGTCAGCCCACGATTAATCATCACGGCATAACACTGCCTTTTAATTGTTGGGGGCTACCCCCAAACATCTGTGCAATCTCAGCGGAAGCTGCCGACGTTTGAGTTCTGAGTTGTACAACTGGGCTTAGCGCGGGCACTCGCGGCGACTCCCGAGGTGGCTACGTGTCCCCGCCGGGGAGGGCTGGATGCCCGCGTCCCGCTCACCTGCGACCCGGAGCCCTCGCTCACCTGCGCGCGTGCGCATCGCCCCGGTCCGGGACCCGGGGAACCCCGATCCTGCCCCGCCCCCGCCCGGCGCCCCGAGACAAAGTGCAAACCAGTCAGTACCGGCGGGCGGGTGTCCAGCTTTGGTCTCCAGCTTCCCTTCTGGAGGCGAAGACATGGCGCCGCTGGCTCGAGGGGCAACGACGGCGGCGGCGGAGGGGTGGGCGGCTGCGCGCGCGCGCGAGGCCCCGGAGGGAAGGAAGGCGTGGGGCGCGCGCGGCTCGGGGACGCGCACTGCCGCCTTGGGCCGAGGGCGTGGCTCCGGGCGACTGCGTGGCACGGCCACGCCCACTCGCGCTGGGCGAGCCGCCCCGCCCTGCCCCACCCTGGCCGAGTGGAGCGTGCGCAGCCGCCAGCGCCACGTCTATCTCCTGGCAGCTAGCCGGGCAGAGTGACAAGGCGCGTGTCCGTGGAGGGTGCGCGGCTCCGCGATCGCTGGAGAGCTGGACGAGCAATGAGGCTCCTCCGCCTAGCTGTCCCCGAGGGAAGCGTCGCCCGCCGGTGGTTCGAGACCTCAGCGCCGGGTTTCGTTCAGAGATGACAGCGGCCTGCTTCATCTCTCAGCTATCAGCTCATTGCCCATGGCTCCTTGGCCCATTTCGCTGCGCGACTCATCCGGTGCCTCTCCAGAACTCACAGCTCTACAAAGATCAGCAGTCTTTAGGAAAAGGCCTGCCACCATCCCCTTTGGGTTACATATGTACCTTTTGACGACACAGCTATTCAGAGAGGTCGGGTGCCACAGGTGCTTCGACTCTTCTCAATCCACAACGTGTTGAATAGCCCCCTCCCTGGCCCCATGCTGCCAAATCCAAAGATCACTTGTCCAGTGCCCTTGATCTCGTAGTAGCATCGGAGACAGCTGTGGCTCCTCTTTAGCTTTAGGGATGCTGTGTCTTGTTCAGTCCGGAGGCCACCCTGGCTTACCATTCAGCTTGGCCGGCTTCCCTGTAGACCTGTAATGCGTCAGTCTCAGCTCTTCTTCCGTACACGTTCCTTGGGTGCTCTCTCCTGTACTAGTGTTTGAGTCTGGGTAACTCATAAAAAGAGGTATTTATTTAACTTACAGCCCTCATGAGGCAGATGGATTACAGGCTTGTATAGAGAACAAATTCTCAGTAGAGATGTTTCCCAGTTTTGAAGCCTTACAGACGCCAAATGCAACCTGTAGCACCAACAGCCCACCAGGCTCTTTTGTGATGGGGCCTGGCAAACTATCACCTCCTTGCTCATGGCTCCTTGGGCCACACTGGCTGTTCTGGGGCTTACTAGAGGGATAGGCTCATTCTTTCAGTCTTAGCATCTGCCATTTTCATCAGTGAGCATGGGCTCCTCCACACTCCCACATGATCCACTGCTTCCTGCATCACAACCAACTCTTAAGGTCAGCTGACCAGAGAGAACCCCGCTCTTTCCATTGTTTAGATTGCATGTTTCAAAGCACTAGTAAAACAATACGCTAGAGAATATAATTTTGTTTCTGCAATGAAATTTTTTTTATCACTGTGTGTAAAATACAGGAATTGCCCCACTGTGTATTAAAATAACTCTTTACCAGTCAGTTCAACTGCTTTCTTCTTCCAGCCTCGACTTTTTGTCTTCCTCTGCTGCTGTCTTAGGGATAAGAATTTTTGTATTCTTACTCACTACACAGAATTCTTTCACACTGTGAATTCGGCTCATAAGGGGAGGGTAGCTTTCATTCTTGACCCAACTTCGCAGCATTAAAGGTATTTCTTTATTTTGCTATAGAAATTATAAATAAAATCAAATATAATTGATTTGGCCTTCACACATATAAAACACATGGGGGGAAAATCCCACACAGGTTCCAAAAGCCAAAGAAAAACAAGATTGTGGCATATATATGTTGCACACATGTGCACACGCGCGCGCGCACGGGCACGCGCACGCACGGGCACGCGCATGCACGGGCACGCACACACACGCGCACGCACACACAAGCGCATGCACACATGCGCGCACGCACAGGCACGCACACACAAGCGCACGCACGGGCACAGAGGCAAGCGATCCTTGAGGTTTCAACTTGTCCTCAGTCACGGGGGTGATTGAGGAACCACCCAGGGCATTTTCAGAAGGGCTTCAATAGCCCATAAAGAACACGGAGTCAATTTCAGCCCCACATGAACTTATAGTTTAGTAAAAGACATTTGAAGAAAGAAATGACCAACCTGACCCCTGGCAAACATCCTCTTATCTTTATTTGGAAGTGAGAAAATAGAAACCATAAAGAAGATGAGAGTCGTGGCACTATTAACGCTGGTTCCCTGCAGCACTCCAGATGTGCTGTGGATCATCCGTGGAGACACGAGGGAAGGGTGTGGACAAGGCGTTTCCAGCTTGTCCCATGAGCCATGTTTGACCTCGTGGAAGCTCCTTGTGCAGTCTGTGGCTATGATTTTGTATTGGAGGCAATAACACTTATCTTAGGGATTCAATATTATGGCACAGCATTTATCTCCTTATATAAAATTTCTTACAAGGGTATATAAATTGCTATAAGTATAAAAATAAACACGACAAAGACGTGGAGGATAAAGAGGCTTTCAACAAGACAAAATAATCTCAGGAGAGCCCAGCATCTAAAATTGAATAATAAAATATTTTTGTTACTTTGTTTTTAAAGAATCTATCCAGGAGACAGAGCTGCTAAGACCTAACACTGCCCTTAAACACATATAAAAACCCTTCCGGAAGGTTCTTCGCCTGGGAGCTCATCAATCTCAGAGAGCCTGGGTGTGAGACAAGCACCAGGAGGGTGTGGAGGTCACCATGACCTTTGCAAGCCCACGGGGCTCTGCTTGGACTTTTTCCTTTGTGGGCAGACCAGAACGAAGAGTCCACGAAGGAGGTCTGTAGACATATTAGGATCCATCCTGACTGTATATCCATGTATGAGCTCCAGCAATGCCACCCTCCCTGTGACTCAATGTCCCAGTCTTAGCACAGATTGTAATGCACCCTCTAGAATGTCTCTGAGACGTGTGGGTTGATAGTATAACATACTGAGAATGCTGTGTAAGCCTTACGGGTTGAACACAGTCTATTCAAAGCATGTTGCTTGTTTAGAGATTTTAGAAGGGAAAAAAAAAACAACAAAGTACAACACAGGGCAGAATCTGATTAACATTCTGGAATAGTAATAGATTCCCACTGTTTTGTGCTGGCTTAGGAAAAGGTGAGGAGAAAGGTGTTCAAGGCCCTGAGCGTGAGCCTTTCTGCTTGACTGGAGTTGGGAGGGTGTTCACACGGAGGCAGCACAGAGCAGAGGCGCAGCAGGTGGAGACGGAGGACCATGATCTTACCACACTTGATGTGATAGCATAGTGAGCAGACATAGGAGGCCCTGCCCTAAGTCCAGAGAGCTGCATCCTCTCCGTACCTGCATTTATGACCTCGGCTTATCCCATCCTGCAGTGACAAGCTCCACCGTTGCCTTGAGACAGAGTGGGAAACGGTAAGATTTTAGTACATTATAAACATGATCTCCTAGCCATTCTGTCTGAGTCTAGCCTCTTCTCACTGCCCCCAGGTTTCCCCAGGACGGTCTGTGAACTGTTGCTGTCTCTGCTGCAGCCCCAGGTCTGTCTCTGCTGCAGCCCCAGGTCTGTCTCTGCTGCAGCCCCACGTGTCTCTGGGCCCTGCTCTGCACATCTGTGTGGAGGACTGTCAGTCTGCATGTGTTAGTGCACCCACTTTGCTATCTCAGGGCTCCCCTGAGAGGAAGAGAGAAAGGACTCCGCCAGAGGCTGCTGCCCCTTTGTTCCCTTCAAAGCTCTGTGCTGTGGCTTCTCTCAACTTGCCATATGGATGTCTGGACTGCTTTCAGGAAATGAGGACATAATCTGAGTGCATTTTGGAAGAAAACAATAAAACAAGGCCCTTTGTCAAACCTAAACAGCAGAGTCACATCTGAAGAGTAGAGCAAGCCAGCACTTGGTCAGCAGTCCACCAGTGTAGTGGAAGTCTTCTCTGTCCTGTCGTCCACTGGCCAGGTTTCTCTCGGCCCACAGCCCATCAGCTCCCTGCTGTCGCTTATGAAATAACCACTCTGAGGCTTATTACCAGTTATGATTGTTTGGCCAATGGCTTAAGCTTCTTACTGGCTAGCTCTAACTATAAATTAACCCATTTCTATTAGTTTATATTTTACCATGAGGCTCATGGTTTGTTATCTCACATTTGGCTTTACTGGCAGCTACATGGCATCTCTCTGACTCCGCCTTCTTTCTCTCTGTAGCTTTGTTTGGATTTCCCACCTAGCTATATTTTGCCTGCCCATTGACCAAAACAAGTTTACTCATCAACCGGTAAGAGAAACACATAGTCGCAGCATACGGAAGGATATCCTACATAACCAGTCCATGGAGCTGGCTACCATGTCCTTTCGTGTGCCCATCCAGACCACCAGACAAGGGTGAGCGATGATCCTTCTCCCACTCTCGTTCTGTAGAGTCTCTCTCTCTTGGTGGATGTTGGATGTTTTCCTCATTAACAGTAGCTGCAGGGCTGGGGAGGACGCCCCTGGGACATTGTCCTCACACTAGGCAAGGAGGAGCATCCTGTCAGTGTGTCTTGTCCCGGGAGATGGTGACCTTTATCACCCCACTAATGGAGAGGGTTTTGAAATGTGGCAGTTTTGTAAGGCGAAAGCTAACGTATTGGTGCGATAAGATCTTTTTTAGTAATCACTGTGAACTGGCTGACTTTCTGTGCTTGGCTATGGTGTGAGTGCCCTCAGGACTTCGTTAATGGAAATTCCATCCTCATAGAGAGGATGGAGGCTTGCCATGAGGTTGCTGTTTAGAGGTGGGGCATTCAAAAGGGGATTAAATTCACCACAGGGAAGGCCCCACCAGTGTATCTCTGTAGATTTTTAAAGAGAGGAAGAGCATTGAGAACACACACACACACACACACACACACACACACACAAGGTGCTCTTCTCTCATCCATGATGCGTGTGCTGGCCAGAGATGCCCAACAAAGAAGGTCACTATTAGATGGTGCCTCTGGATCTTATGCTGTGTGTGGAAATAGACCTTCCCTTCTTTTTAAAATGGTCCACCTCAGGTATTTCCTGTTAGGAATGACAAAACGGTCTAACATGATATTAATTTAAGTCCCATGACGGTTGCTAAGAGCCTATATTAACAAGCTTATCTCTGGACGCGGTTCTGGAAGATACTTCCTGTGGCTTTCTTCATCGCCTCCTCATTCTCTGTCTCCAGAGG